ACATAAAAAAATTTTTAGGCATCGCTACATGAGTCATTACTAAATTCTTCATGTTTTGATAAACATAAGGTGATGAAAGGAAAGTATAACAATGATTCGCCGGGTTGGCGTCAGATCAACGATGTATCTATGTGGAATGTTTGGGTTTGAGATGTATGCCAAGCCCATACGCAGCAACGGAGCCAAATTACTGATCGTACAAATTTATGCTAAAATAATTGTTTCTTCAATAACAAGGTATTTTTTTAGTGTCGAAGTGAAATTAAGAATCGGGACTCTCCAGATGTTTTATTATGCGCGGAGGAGGGAATCAAATGCGCATGCGTAAAGCCTACGAGAAAACGTTGTTGGTGGTTTTGAGGTCCGGATTTTAGATCATTCCGGATAATGGAAATCCGGATTTCGGACTTTGTACTGCATTCATTTCGATTTATCATTTATAAATAAATTCATTTTCAATTAATAAAGAAATGTCGTTTTGACGACTTCTAAATTGCGTACGTAAATAAACATGCCTTATATGCGATTACAAAAAAATAATCGCAATCGCAACTAAGTGCACTGCAATCAGGGGATTTGCTGATGTCATACATATGGATTAATAAATTGACATATTGTGTTTTATGGTATACCACACCATCTTTACTAATCACAGCAGTAAATTAATTCTCAATAAATGAAATGGGATCTATGTAAAAGCAAAAGATTGGAGTAAATTCGTTAATAGAAAGATAAACTGTTCAGAATTTCAATGATTAATAATTTCAGTTAGATGTCTTTATATACTTTTCGTGTAACTTTCTTATTGTTTAGGCATAATTTAAATATACAAATTGTCATGTATAAATTTATTTTAAGGGATAAGATGCAAGATTGTTTCAATACAGATTTAAACACTATTGATCATTTAGTTTTTAATTATATTTGCAATGAATCTGAATTTATATTGCATTTACAAAATAACGGTAGACCTCTCCCCCCCAATAAAAAGGATACAGGGAAAAAAAGAAACTTATTCTAATGCAGATTCAGAATAATTAAATACCGCGCTATGCCTTTTAATGAAAATTATTTTCTTTGAAGTAACTTTTCGGCAAGCAAATTACTTCAGAAAAAAGCTTCATTCAAAGCATTTCATAAAAGAGTCATTATTTAAGTTCTTTTCCTTTATATTTTGTAAAAAAACTTTTCACATAATATTAAAACTACTATTGGATTTATCATGTGCAGAAACAAAATTGTATTTCATATTTTAATTTCAGGTGGATACTCAGAGTTTTTATTACAGCAAAGCCCTCGAGAGTCTCTGCCTTAGGAAGTTTTAATTTTAGGAAAAATTACAATCTATGCTATTACTGTTTATCAGATCAAACAGAAAAGGAGCAATTTCTCCATAAATGTGACTTTGTTCCTTACGTGATGACGACGGATAGGACTGACGTAAGAGAATGACCATTTTTTCAAGCTTCCAGTTACGGATAGTCATATTGTACTCTGTTTTTGCCTTTAACGATAATCTTCAACTCAGTAACGATAATACAATTTTTAAGTTTTCTTAAAAATGGACAAAAAATGAAAGATCGAAGAGAAAAAGGTTATGTTCACTGAAGAGTGAAATACGAGTATTTTTTTGCTAATGTAAATAGTAATGGCATTTGTCTAGTTTCCAGTAAAGGGTATCAGCATTGCAAGAATGCAATATTAAAAAACACTTCACTATTAAATGTTCTGAATGTGGCACTAATTTAATTCCAGAAGCAGATCAAAAAATAGTCAGTGGTTTTTTTCAAAATTTATCTAGAAAATCAAATGTACTCACAAACTAGAGAGCAAAAATATAAAGAAAAAGTGAGTTTTGTTATTGTTCATATAATTACAGTAAAAAACAAATCATTTTCTGAAAGAGATTATTTCAAAGCATGAATGACTAAAATGTGTATGTTAAATCCGTATATTAAGCATAAATGCTATAACATAAATTTATCTCTGATAAAAGTTGTAAGAAGAGAAAAAGTATCAATAAAAGTTCTATGAGCAATTATTATCAATGTTACAGTCCACAAAATGGTACTCGATAACTCTAAACGGAAGTAATGACCAAACAGATATTGCACAATTTTTATTTTTATAAGTAGAAATTTGAAGTTATTAAAAAGCAGTAGAATTTCTTAAAAACCAAGCAACGGGGAATGACTAGCGGAGCATCAAGTTTGACAGAAGGAAATGTTGGTACATAACGAAAATGTAAGATTTTTTTATATTACCTTGATTACAATTGAATTGCAATTGAATATCAATAAACATCAGGCAAATGTATGTCAAAAGTTGAACACGTCACTTCTCGCATAGATAAACTTGTAAATTTAATATACACTCAAGAGCCAAAACATTATGACCATCTGTCAATAACGAGTTGGGCCACCTTCGGCGCGCAACACAGCTTCAACCCGCCTTGGCATGGATGCCACAAGTCCTTGATAGATGGCCGGAGACAGATTGTACCAGATGTTGTAGCAACGGTCACGTAAATCCGAATAATGCGAATTGGTGGTCTTTTGATCTCTGAGCTGCCGTCCCATGACATCCCAAATGTGTTCTATCGGATTGAGATACGGTGAGTTAGGCGGCCAAGACATTAACTGGAAATCACTATCATGTTCCCGGAACCACTCCAACACAATTGTAGCCTTGTGACAGGGCGCGTTGTCCTGTTGGAACATTCCATTTCCAGCTGGAAAAACAGAGGCTATATAAGGGTGCAACTGGTCCGCAATGATGTTCGGATAGGTCTGCTCTACCACAACCACGGGTCCCAGAGACGCCCAAGAGAACGTCCCCCAGAGCATAATACCGCCGCCAGCGGCCTGTGTATGATCTACTGTGCATTGAGGGAGCAACTGTTCGCTGGAAGACGGCGTATCCTGACACGGCCATCGGCGTGATGAATGACAAACGGTGATTCATCTGACCAGGCAACTCTCTCCCACTGATCCATGGACCAGTCGCGATGTTCCCGGGCCCAGCGCAGGCGCAGTTGGCGATGACGCTGGGTCAGCAAAGGCACACGAGTGGGACGTTTGCTGCGTAGCCCCATTACCAAGAGTGTCCGCTGAACAGTGTGCGTCGATACTTTTCTACTTGTCCCTGCATTGTTGTATTCGGCTGTCAGCTGAGCCACTGTCTGGCTCCGGTTTTGTTTCACCATGCGAGACAGTCTCCGACGACCTTTTTCTTTGATAGCGTGTGGACGTCCAACACCATGTCGTCTACTTCTGATTTCACCATCATTCATCCACTTTTCATACGTACTAACAACTGTAGATCGCGAACAACCCATGAGTCGTGCAGTTTTGGAAATACTTGTTCCGAGCCTTGCAGCCATTACAATCTGCCCTCTATCAAAGTAACTTAGATCCGCAGCCTTTCCCATCACACACAGAAGTAAGTGAAAGAATGATTCTTCAGACTCTCCAGCAGCAGGTAAATACCACTTCCACCTGATTAAGTGCCTTCCACGTCATCCAGGCGCGTTCATCGCAAAATGTAGGGCTGGTTATAATGTTTTGGCTCTTGAGTGTATTAAGGAGTTTGAAACACAGGCAGTCCATCAGTTTTCATCAATATACTGAATTCAAGTACTAAGATATTTCTTTCCATAGTCAAATTCTATGCCTTAACTTAAGAAAAGGTTCTATCAGATTTGAAAGATTATATTACTCTTATGAAAAATATGGATTTCCATTAATTAAACGATAGTACCTAGATTACCCTACACATCGTAACACAGGTAAGTACTTGATTTTACAAGGTAAATATTCGTATGATTTGCAATAGATTTTTAGTTAAAACACCAGCTGTTCCAGTGAAATTCACTGAAAAACAAAGTATTAAATGAAAATGCTTATTTGAAAACAGATCAAATAAGCATTAACACACTGTAGTTCTGAAATGACTTCATAATATAGCAAATTTCCAAGTACAGTAAAGCACCATCTATACGTTTCTCATTTATATGCCTTTTACAACTATACGTCGCTTCGTCTTTCTTTTACGTCTATTTATTCATATTCGTGTTAATAGTTAAATAACTTCATTTATACGACGCATAACTTCAGTTGCTTTTTCCTGAGTGTTTTTGGTGTTCTTTTCAGTTCCTGTTCCGTATTTCCTTTCGAAGATCAAACAGTTTTTCTGTATTTCGTTTCTTTTGCACATTGGAACACTAGGGAGATAAAGAAAAGTGTGAAAACTTCCTGGAAATGTGACTAGATGAGCCATTGACGTAAAAGTATAACCTTTCTTAATTTTATATTAAATATTTACTTAGTTTGAATTCTTAAAATTTTAAATATGAGATATATTAATTTTTAAGTTACTGATGCTATTTTAAACAAACTACATTCAGGGTGATAAAATTAAATTTACATAATAATAGTGATAAAGTAGCATCACAAATTTTTTACAGCTAAAATATACCCGTCATACTTTTAAACCGAAATTTCAATTATTTTTAATTTGCATATATCTTCTGAGAGCACCCTTGAACGACGTATAAAGGGTACTTTACTGTATTTATATCTACGCTAATCTTTTTTTTATTTTTGTAGGTAATGAGCGCAAGCGTTTCAGTAACCATCAATATTCTATCAAAGTGATAAACTTACGTATTTACAAAATTGTACTCATTTTTACAAGCTTGACTAATTAAATTTATTATTAGCATTAATATAGATTTCTGGTTCTTTGGACAATTCTACTCCCACTAATTTTTTAAAAATTTTTCTAGGCATGAATGCTGCATGGTAAAATTATGAGCTGAAAAGAATTTAATCATTCAACATCTGTTCCTTCCAAAATATCCCCATTGCTCACAGTTGTAAACTATGAGACTTCTTGATATCAATTTCGGATGTTTCCTTCAGAACACAAGAAATAGTTTTCTTTCAGAAGTTTTCAATATGAATCTTAGAAAATAAATAAATAAAAATATTATTAAAAAACAGCAGCTTTATTTTGTACAAAATTATTACGAACAAGTAATCACCATTAAGTACAATTTTTCACAATTGTGCAACATCTTGATGATTTTGCATACATTATAAGAACTTTCTCGCGTATCTTACATACACACATATGTATATATATATATATATATAGAAAGAGAGAGAGAGAGAGACGTGATCACAACCATATTACACTGTTTATCCAGTTAAGGTAATATTGTATGTTGATGTAAATTCCAGGTACACCTGGCAGTCCACAACCAATACCCCAGGAAACCAGACCTGCTACGTACCATTTTCTTCCACTTTTGCAAACCAAAGGACTACCGCCATCACCCTGTAAACATAAAAAAGAAATGAATGAATTATATTTCAAAATTATTCAACAGAAAAATGCTGATTCTTCAGAGAGTAATAAAAATCGCAAGATATGATGACATATATGTAAGTAAGGTATTATTAAGGGGAAAATTAATGGGCTCTTATACAGTATCTACCACTTATTAAACTCACTGCCAATAAAATGAGCCGCTTATTACATTCAGATTTCCTGAAGCCAGAAAGAACATAATTATCAAAACAAAAATCGCTGCTTATTAAACTCATCTCCTCTGCTTTTGGAACTCGACTGGCAAAAGATTAATTCTTCATTGTAGGAATATTCTGTTTGCATCTATCAAAACGTTAGTAGTTCATCCATTCATCCAATTAACACATTGTGGACCTTATTTATAACTCAGATATGTAGTACATAAAAACAAAATGAGATTTACTGAAATTTTCCCTTCTTTTTTTTCCAACAAAACATTGTTTTCAGAGCCCTTTTGGCCACACTGAAGATCAGAAGGGACAAATATCCTTATCTTTCCCTATCAAATTCCTTATGTTAAGGTTAATAAAAAGTATCTTGTAGGGTCATTGCAAGTGACTGAGGATTCCTTCTCGAATATCAGTTGATACTGTACTCAGGCTGAGAATAATGACTTACCTGAAAATAACAATTAAATGAATTATAATTAATTAAGAACTAATAAAAAATGCAGATACTTCAAAGAAGCGTAAAAGAGATAAAAAAATCGACAGATATTGAAACTGATGTTCTAGAATTGTTTTAAGCTAATCAAATCAAATAATGTCCCCGTTTCTAGACTATAAAATGCTTTGGAATTCACTAAAACGCTTTTTAGAGATTTTTGCATTAACCGACAGGAGCTCTTAAGTTGAAAAGAGAGGAATCCAACATGGTTCATTGGAAATTGCATGCTGAGAAGCACGAAACACATAATTAGCCGGCTAATAACGTTTTACCTGGCCTGCTAAATGAATAAAAGCCAAAATAATTTGTAATACAGAACAAAACTGGACCGTACTAATGAATGCTACCAATATATTCATTAATACTAAAACATGAAACAGCAGCTGGTTTAAGTAATGAAGTAACTAGTTACTGCGTTAATAATGTGTAATATGGACTTAACATTTAAGAAATCAACACTTGTTATTGGCAAAAACAGAAAGTCTGGATGTTTGAAAAGAGTCAAAAATTTGCCTCTAATATACCATAACAATAAGAATTCTTGAATGACAAGTAGTAATAAACTGGTTTTCTTATGAAATGGAACAGTAGACTGAAAACGAAAACGCAGCTTTAGCCAATTAGATACCTATACAGCACACACACCCTTGATCTCCTTCTGGAAAACATCAGTCTTTTTTCCTGAAAATACCACTTCTAACATTCAGCCTTTAAATCAGGGTATTATAAAGGCTTTTATATGGCACTATAGAAAATTATTCCGGAAAAGATAAACAGAACTGAATCTTGCGAAAATGCAAGCACTTCGAAGGAGACAAATAATTCGACTCTGCTAGAGGCCCTGCACATTACAATCGATCATTTTCTAAACTAGCTGTGCTTTAGCACAGTTAAAATCTGGTTTAGAAAATGTCACTTTTATATAGAAGCCTCAAAGTAATTGCATATTATACCTCATATTTCAAACATCAGTGAAAGAAGTCATAAAGTTTCATTTTTAGAATGCGTGTCGTTTGATTCGAGAAAACACGTATAAAAACAGACAATTTGAAATGCACAAATTGCCATCTGTTAAAATATGTTTGGAACTCAAATGTGATTGCAACGAAAGGGAAGTCATTTTAGTAAGCGGATGTATGATTTGTAAAACTTACTTTCAACTGAGTAGAAACTAAAGAATTAATTTATGTGTTCCAAATGAAAGTGATATATTACAATGTATGCCGGATTTTATGTACTATATTCTTGTAAACCTTTATTAATTTCCCACGAAAATACTTTTAAATAATGAAATTATTTTAGAAATATTCCGTTATGTTTAACCCTATCCTTTAGTAATTAAAAAACATTTTTTTAAATGAGTAGTAACCAGCTGTTAGTCTCTTTCATGTTAATGTCACAATATTTTAAATAAAGGAATAGGTAATCTTAAAAACTGCGCTTTTTAATAGATTTTATCTCTAGAATTGATCGATAAAATTCAGTGCCACTTTTATGCAAATTATTTCATATTCTATTCTTAGACAGCTTGGATAACATTCAGCCATATTTTCAATCTAAATCATAAACGTTTTATTTGATATATTGTGGTCGTACAAAAATAAAAGTTTAAATAAAGGTTAGTCCTACAATTATTAAGAGTTCAATTTAAAAAACGTATTATTAGAAACTAAATTTAAAAATTTAAAAAAAAGTCTTCCTTAACTTGATATCTGAGAAATGCCTTTTTACATGTAATTTTTAAGTTTTTTTCAACAATTACAAATGTTTAGATTTAAAATGACAAATTACTTTTAAAATTGCTCGTTGAAATGTATTTCATGGAGTGATATAGGCATGAATAATCGTGTTTATTTGTTTATTCGCATTAATTTTTTAATATTTAACGCAGCATTATTAAAATGTTATGTCAACGATTTTTGAAATTATTCTTAACAAATTAAATAAACGTATACAACTGGAAAACTAACATTGTTGAGTGTAACAAATTATGCTCTGAAAACGTAAAACGCGATATTCTTTTTACTGCAGGTCAGGTCAGGTGCAAGTATGCAGGAAACTAAAACAGCGTCATACACAATATTCGTAAAGCTGAGGTTCACTAACCATCTGTTCCCTTCAGAGACATCGGATGCCAATTTATTTAAAATCTTAGAAAGATTATAAGATATTTAGAAAACGGTTACAAGAAGTTTAAAAAGAAAGTAACAAAGGTTACGAAAAGTTTGCAAAGATAAAATTAGTAACAAAACAACCTTGAGATTGGTGCAGATTTATGTCAAGATCTCAATTGATTTCGAGAGGAAACAGGTACAGATCCCTCTTCGTCAGGAGCAAAGAAATCTGCAAGAACTGTCTTTCAGATTTCTTGTTCTTGAAATCAGTTGAGATCTTGACATAAATCTGCACCAATCTCAAGGCTGTTGTGTTGCTATTTTTATGTTTAACTTGCCGTGCTTCTCTTCTGTTTTCAAAGTTTACAAGAAGATCATAAAATGATAACAGGAAGTTTCTCAACGAATCACTCTTTGCATATTATGAGAGTAGTGTTTATGGGGACACAGACTGAGGCCTTGTTGATGTAGATAATCGATAATGGCTTTAAGTCTGTTATATATGTTTCTATGTTGCACCAGGAATCTTTTAAACTTGATATCATAATATTGGGTGTCTAATGTGAAAAATCTGGGTTAGGGGACATGTAAAAAATGTGGTATTCGAGATGTCTCCTTTTCCCACACCTACACGGATTAGAGGTTGTTTTCGCTGCAGTATTTTACAGACCAGCAAACATTTTCAAAAGCAAATAATTTTTTAACAACAAGGGAAAATATTCCAGGAACTGCCTGACATGCAGCGCACTTGCGATTTGCGTTCAGATTTTCATTTTCATGCATAAAATCATCCTCCATTGCTGATAATTTTCTCTAATATTAACTGTATGATTCGAGATACTACGAACAAAAAAACAAAAAATATCTTTATAAGTAATATGTCTTGAGATATCTATAATGTAATTAAAAATTGAAGTAAGCGGATGAATAAAATATTCGTCAAATACAGTAGCTAAATAGAATGCGCTTTTATAAAAATATTCAAGTAGTAGTTTTGATATTGTTTATGAAGAAAACACAATCCACGACCAGTATTCAATATATGAAGAGTGATGGACCTAGTCCCTCTTTTACGAAACCTCTGAGAAATTTCTGAAATATTGTTTCACTACGAAGATATTAGTACTTTGCTGATTCATTGAGACGAAAAGTCAAATTTTTTTGATTTTATATTCATTCAAAAAACGTTTTTCCCAACTTGTAGAAAATGGTGCCTATTGCACCACCTTAAAGAATTTACATACTTGTATTTTAAATTAAACAATTTGAAAAAACAATGAAATAATTTATAAAAAAACAAACGTGTTTTCAGAAATCAATTACATCTATCGCAAAACATCTGCGCAAATTGTCTTATTTGGGAGATACAGGCCTTTAAAACATTTACGAAAAACAAAATTCATGTGCAGTTCAGCAGCAAACACGAAGACAGGAAAAATACACCAGAACTGACTTTTCTATTATTCATTTTGTTTACGAGAAAATTTACAAAGCGCCTACTTTGTTGTACACAGAGCATTTTTCAAAAGTCAGAACATTACAAAATTACAGGGCTGAATTTTGAAAGAATTGCTGATAGCTGAGAGTCAGATTTCGGAATATATTGATCAACAGTCGTCGATAATATATGGTAAGACACCTCTAGGAAGAATTCCGGTGCCATGGGTTACTATCTAGATCAAGGATTATGATCCTTTCGAAGAGCAAAGGCCAAACAGCGCTGCGTTATTCCAGAGGATAGCATTTTATTAAATATAATGAAAACATATTTCTGGAAATTTAAAGAAAAACAAGAAAATTGGTAAATTCTTATTTATATATAAACATAAAAAGAAAAATAATGAATTGCTTGCTATAAACTAAAAATAGTTAGAGCGGGCAAATTTTTAAATGAGACACTTGCTTCTGCTTATTTCTTCTCCGCATTAAGTGAAATATTTAACAATGGCAGGAGCGAAACATTATCCGAGTGACCGTCCTTCAACCTTGTTCTTTATTAATTTTTAGAATATTTCATTTTTGAGAAAAGCTGTTCACAAGCACATGTACTTCCAAATAATGATGTCCTCAGTTTCGCATTATTCAGGATATTTTTATATTTCCCGTTTGGCAATAACATATTTTTTGTAAAAGAGAGCAATGACTTACAAATCGAACTTTGTTTCAAAGATTTATTGCATCGTTAGATCATTTATGTCCAGGTACTAGTGGGCCAGATCAATGTCGCTAGAGGACCGGGGGTTGTCGACCATTGATCTAAACACTCCACGAATTTTTAAAAATGTACAGGAAGGCTTAACGAAGCTGAACGGTGTTCGCGTCACAGGAACAAACTGAACAGCTGTTATAGTATTGAATTATTACTCACGGCTAATTCATAATAATATTCAAATTTAATCAATACAGAACATGCAAACCGATGATCAACAGCCATCAGTGAAACCATCAGTGTTCCGTTGGTTAAACCATCAGTGTTCCGTTGGTTAAACCATCAGTGAATAATCTACGGTAAAATAATGTTATTATTTACTACCATCAATACTTCCTTTTTCAACTAGATTTTAAGCTGATCTGAAGGTCAATCAAAATTAAGGTCATCGATATATGGATTTCTTAAACTGTCTCTGGGCAAAGTAAAAACTACATTTGAACTTCACGAAACTGTTTGTTTTATTATATCGTTCATGAAAACACATTTCACAAAACTGTAAACAGTTTTCGAATTACAATAATTCTACCAATTTCCTCTTAAACTTCATAACGCTTATGACAGAATGTCTTGAATAAACATGTCATTAATTCTGACACGTTTGGATTAAATAATTTCAGTATCTTCTATTCTTATTTTATTCGTGTGGGGTTCAATCTTTTAAATAAAAATAATAGAAATGAATAAATGTATTTTCCATGTATTGCAATGCTTTTTACTTCAGCGATCAATTTTATAACATTTTGAATTTTACTTCTTGATAGCCTAAAAAACCTGCCATTGAAATTAATCTCATCCGTTTCCTCTAGTAAAGTTAATTTCAAAATTCATTATTGAACATTTTTATAATTTTGAAATGCACAGTGAAAATTTTAAAATGAAGATAATAAAATTTTTAATTTTTCTGATATAAGTGTATTTAATAGACTTTCATTAACAAACTTGAAAGCATTATATCCAACTGGAAAAAAAATGGGACCATAAATTACGGATGCACTGATACACGCATAGACAGCATTAGAAGTAATGTTTCCTTAATCAGCGGTGGAAAATAAGCCCTTCCTTCAAACAATTTAGTTTGCACATTATTTCATGCTTATAATTACTTCCTCATATACGAACATGTATTCGTGATATGAATATGCTGAATGCCATTTTCGTTTTAATTCTGAGTGAAGTTTTAGTTGAGTTTTAATTCTGAGTTTCGTATTTCACTAATACTATAAACGTTAACTTAAATATATACTATTCAAAATTCATCCATACAAAGAATGCAGAAAAATATAAGAACTTACCGTGCACGCATCTTTGCCTTCTTCTCCGCCGGCACAAAGGAAGCTAGGGTGCAAAATATAAGCAGGTCCTAATTTCGTGTTACGTAGTTCATTGTTGCAAATGTCATAATTCAAAACAGGAACATCTACCTCTTTCAAGACATTTTGGTATTCTCCTTGAGGACCTAAAAAGAATATAATAATTTACTTAAGCAAAACTGTAAAGTTATTTAATGAACTGTAAAGTTATTATATAAACAGGTATATATATATATATATATTCCTACATTCTCTTCAGGGATTACTTGCCACACTGTGTATATTCCAGCTAATAAGAGAAACTAAGGGACAGATATTAGTATAGCTTGAATATAGGACCACACTGGCATTTTTACGTTTGGCTCACTATTCACACAGCTGCGTTTCTGCTAATCCAGAGATATTTAGTTTAGTTTAATTTATTTGCTTGAGGCAAAGCATTCTAGGGCTATATGCTTAGCGGGAAGGATATCTTCGTGGAGGACTATATAAGAAAAAAAATAGCACGTACTCTCTTTACGCATGCGAAGAGCTACAAAAACGCCCATGCAGCTAGCTAATACTCCTGGAATCAAACTTAGGTGTAACCTCCACTGTTCAGAGACTTTAACGCTCTGCCGCTTTTGGACCAGAGGAAATTTTAAACCAGCGCTTCTTAACTCTTTTCTTTTCATTTTTTATCATCGATATTTTTTTTGCGACCTGAGATGCTAAATATAGAATTAATGATACAAAAATTAATATTTTTCCACAGATAATTTATTTCTTTGATAAACATGATGCATATAAAAAGAAGTAATTCTACGATTTATTTCAAGTATACAAAAATAAGGAAAGAAATGAGATGGATGTGCTTCTTTTTTACCGCATAAGAAATGAAATATTGCGGCAATACTTGACAATGCTGGACTTTTTATAAAGCATGTTCACTGTTTTTCAGTAATTTTTTTATTGATTACATTGACTCCCACAATGGTATCCACCAAAGGGAAAGGTGCTCCGTGTAGGACTTTCAAGAGAACCTGGCTCTTATCCATGTTACACATTGGGGAAAAACACGAAAACTTCAATACAGCCAACTTTTGTTCACCGGGATTGAAACACCAGACCGAACTAGGGTATTCAGCAAATTTACCGCTCGGCAGCTGGTAAGCCATATTTTTCAGCACTAAACGATAATTGAATTGAATGCTGAAAAAGTCGTTTCACATAAGTACGAGTATATGATGCTTGAATGGCAGCAGAACATTCAATTCCTTTCAGGAGTTGTGAGAAATTTAGTTTTCAATCCGGTTCAGAATTCTGTCAAGGGTATTTGTGGAAGCTCGGGTTTTAAATCTGTGTCACTCGATAGCTCAACAAATTGATTTTGGATTTTATAGGATAAGTGGTTAATCTCATTAATGTCAAGTAATGTAATTGCTTTAAAAGTTTCCTCAGCGTAATTCTTTTAAATTCATTATCATAATTAAATTTTAGCAACTCTAATATTTCGTTTTGCCACCCCATCCGGGGTCGGAACAATTTAAGAAACGCTGTGCTAGACTATTCCATTTTGACAACCCTGCCGCAGTCATGCATGTTTTTAAATTCAAAGATATTTACTTCCTTAGACGTTTTGTTTTTGCGTGATTATTTTAGATTTCAGGCAATCTGTTTCATCATTTCTATTTTAAGATAATACAGAGGTTTAAGGATGTGATAGAGAGGAATTCAAAGTTCGTTTTTGAGTGGGAGGATGACTAGTTAAAGTGGGGTAGCCATTAAGGTAATTTGCCATACATTTTTAGAATCAGTAGATGTTTTAGAATTTTTAAAAGAAAAGAGTTAATTAATTGGGAATTGTATGTGAAAAGTATAATTCTCAATTGAATTTAAAGTTTCCTGGTAAATTTATTAGCAATTTTGTAATTTCTCTTAATTGCCAGCATTATTTTTTTGCTGTTTTTTCCTCCCCATTCTTAATTTAAACATGTATTTTAAAGTTTTCCTCTTAAAAACGCTTATCTTACTATTGAAGACACGTTTTCCAAAGACATGGGAACCTCTTTTCTTTTGTCGCCAAGCCAGAATTTCGCCATTAGTAAGCTTGTAGAGACATTAGGTGTTTTTTGAAAGCTGAAGAGATGAAAAATGAACAACGCCTTCGCCGGGACTCGAACCACGGGCGTCTCAAATACGCCCTGCTGACCACTACACTACGAAGGCGTGCTAAGAAGGCGGGAGAAATGCCTTATAAGCTGCAACAGATATTTTCATTCATGGCATTTTTCTATAGAAAAAGCCCTACAAACACAAGTAGTAATTTTGAAACGGGTATGTATCCTCTCAAGTAAAGCTGCTCAAGTACTTGAATTTCTTAATCTTGTTGTGTGTTACACACTAGATTAATGGCGCGTATTCAGACATACTCCTCAGGGATCGACATAGAAAAGTCTGCAAAGCTAGATCTGGCTAGGATCTGTACCTAGGCAGTCTCGGCCACGGGGGTATAAAAATTATGAACCTAGTGGCCTTGGAGGCTCCGGAAAGGTCATTTATTGGCCGGAACGTCGTCTGGAAAGTCTTACAGCAGATGACTCTAGCAACCAACTTGGCGTCGCGTCGCGGGGACGCTGGGTAATGTCCCTCTGCGACGGGCAGCCCGAGCAAATGGCAAGTAGCAAATCATAGTCAACGGTGTCGCAAAGGCGACGCGTCTTTCTCTACAAAGTGCGAGGGCAGGAGTTGAACCCCTGTGCCTGGTTCTGAGGGGTGAAGGGACTCTTAGTGCCATAATTTAGGCGGAAAGAGGAATGTCCAAATTGTCATTGTTGTTGTTATAAGAATTATATGAAAACTGATAGACCGCAAAATTGATTCGATACAAAATTGAGTTATAAACATTATACCTGTTATAAGCGATATACATTATTCTCTGAAAAGAAAATATTCAGCAACATATTTTAAAAAACAAAGCGTCCATGCGGTATAACTATTAGAAGAGCAACGTTTTAGCGTTATAAAAGCAAGTTATACAGTCCAAAATGTTTCATAAGCTTCACTGATAACATTTAATGTTTACAAACTATTTACAGCAGTATCAAGCCTATTATCAAATTTGTAAAGCACAGAGATTCCCTTCTTCTGTGTATTATATATAGTGAGAGATAGAGATAGAGATATGGGATTGAATTTTTTATTTATGCCTGAGCCCTCACCTAGAAAGCATACTGAAATATGAAAATTACCAAAGAAATCCTTTCCCCATCCACTGACCCAGCATCTTTGTCCTTCGAACGCTTGTCCATATGAAGGTAAGCAGACTGGGCTTATATGAGGAATTTTAGGATCTACTGGAGTCCGAATTCGAAGCAATGCTAGATCATTTTCTAGAGTCTCCTCATCAAACTCTGGATGAATAAGGATAGCTGTAACATCTTCTTCAACGAATGGATATATTTCATCTTTCCTCTTGACGTCCCATTCCCCAAGCCGGACCAAGAGCCGTGCTATTTCTTCCCTGCAGAAAAAACAAAATTATCGGTTACAAGAATTTTTTGTTCTTTAAAATCAATGAAATAATAAGAGATTATTTTATCTGTGTAAGATATTATAAAATTATATCATTATCTGAATTTCTTTATATGACTTTCTGTATTAACTTTATATCACTTTCTGATTTATATACTGATACACGCGCAGATATTATTATTTGAAAAAATTATAAATTGTGTTCCAGGATTTGCTAAAAGTTTTAACTTAAAATCCTAAAATAGACATTTTTCATTATCTCTATTTTCTATTAATTACCATTTCCGTTATCTATTGTATATCTCAAAGTAGAATATAAAACTAATGCAAATGTTTAAATTTCCTTGCGGAATACCTATGTTTAAAAATTTTACGGAAAAGTCATGTTACATCCTTTAAATCTGGAGTACTAGAATATATTTTTTAAAAGGCATTGGTGTATCCTGAATAGAAGAATATATTCCAGGCAGAACAGTTCGTGTTGTTAAAATATATGCGGCGTGATGGCATATTGAGTAAATTGGAACAAAGAAAATTTCGTGATTAAAAGGAGATCTCAGTCAATCAATCAATCTACTATTGATCACGAAATCTACTATTTCGTGATCAATACTAGATTTCGTGATCACAAGGAGATCACAGCTATGACGTAATATTTTTTTTTAATCCTCTAACCTCACTGTTCTTTCTTATGAACATAATTCGTGAAATCAAGGTTTCACTCTATTCAGCCGCCTATCCAAAATTATGAGAGAGCCAGCTTAAAAGATATACTAAACGAAACATTTTTCCAATGCTTCAGGAGCACTGAAGCAAGCGTGAGTGTCTCAAAGGATATTACTTCGAAAATGACTATGTAATAATCTTTTGCACTTCAAACAGAATACTGTAATATTTTGTTATTTAACAAATAAATATATATTTATTATTGAAGTGGCAACGCCATATTTGTATGATATAACCATTGCTCAGCAACGCAAGAAATTGTTAAAAATGAGAATTCTGAAGTTTTTCCAACTAGTAGTTGTATAAAAATTTTGCCACTACAGAATTTTATTCAAATAAAAATAAAATTTATGTTTTACTAAGAAGATTATTTGTTATTTTGTCAATTACTTCAAAATACATTACAATACCCTACAAGCACTTTTTGAAAACTGTTTTAAACAAAAACCTTTTGTGATACCACTTATCAAAGTGTTTGCATTAGCGTTATGTTTTCTCAAGAAAACCGCGTAACGGCAGTTCGCAATAAGACAATGAAGACAATTCTTGTTACGCATTTATTTTGCCAAGAATTGAAATGGAGAGCTTGCACAAACTGACTGAGTTATAATCTGCATTCGTCTATACAATCAGTGTGCAGGCATTTGCTATAATATTATCTATGTATCATCCAACTTTAATGATTAAGTCTGAAATAAAATCTAAAATATGTTTCCCAGACTAAATTTTGGTTAGATTATTGTATCACACACATACGAATTAACTCACTTTTGGACACAGTGAGCAACCGTAGCTACCCATTGAGGAGAAACTAAGGCACCTCCACAGAGGTATAGATTTTTCTCACCTTCCACTTTTTTCAGAACTGCAATCTGAAAAAAAAAAAAAAGTTTACCTTATTACATTCTCTTAAAATAAAGAAAGATGTGTTATCATGCGGTTAAAATGATAAACAAATATTTAACAATCATTTCCCTCCGCAATTTTTATCAGCCAAATGATTGGGATTATCAATTAAAAATTGATCAGATGTTCTTAAAATTTATAAAATGCTGAGAACATTTATAAATATAATGCACCTTGTATAAAAAGAGCAAAATATTTGCATTTGTTAATTGTAGAATGATTGAATTTAATCTTTCCTTGAAGAAATCTGAACTGTTGAAACTTTTAAACAATTTTCGTTAAGGATAGTTACTAAGAATACGCAATTTTTGCATTAAAAAAATGAAATTTTCCTAAAATAAAAATCTGTCATTTATTCATAAAAGAAGGAAAAGAAAAGCGAAAGAGAGAAAGAAAAGAGGAATAAAAGAAGTAAAAATAGAAACACAAATCACCTATTTCTAGGACCTACTGTAACAAAAATACTTATCCAATAATAAGGAAAAAAACTTTTTGCTTTAAGACTTCGTACAACGTTAAGTGTCTTGTTTGACCACTGGAAGAAGCTATTCATGAAAATTAAAAAAATGTATGATTAAATGAGTTCATCTTTCGTAATGTCTTTAACAAATAGTATTTTAGGGAAGCTTAAAAGCTGATACAGGAAAGCTTATGGCCACACATGGGGAAAATAATTTGCTAAAAATATAAAGATTCATTTGTAGGGTTAAATAGTATGCACAGACTTAATTTCTTTAAATTCTTCTCTTTGCCGTAAATGAAAATTATTTTATACTTCTCATCAACTGACCTTTCTCGTCTTCAGATACATTTCTCTTATCTCCAATATAAGTATACTTTGACCCTAAATAGAAGATTTTAAATCACCTAAATGACTCCACAAGATATGAGCGAATCCATAGTGTAATTCTTCTAAATTCAAAATCCTTTGCATAATTTTTGGATGGAATTTAGAAGCAAAAGTCATTAAATTCGTATTTTACGCAGTAGATCTTCATTTACTAAATATTCCTTTAGGAATCCGGTATTTGAATTGTCATTCTCATATTGATTATGGAAAACAACAATATGTTTAATTTAAATGACAGTTTCGAACCAAGTTACCGAGAATTCCATCTGTGTTATAATAGGCGCAGAATAACATTTGGCTGCCAGTTTAAGTTGCCTTTCTTTTAAGTTTAAGTTACGTTGCACTTTTTCGTTTGTTGTATGAATTTTTCTTAATTTCCTTTTCATGATGCGAAAAAAATACCAGTTTTTTGGCTAAACAATAGCATTTGAAAATTAACTGGAAACAATAGTATTTTGAATTCTATAAAAATATACTACCAACAAAATTCATTTTATGCTTCCAGCTTTAGTAGTGCAATAAAAACCCTCCACCGCAAGTATTTTAGGCAAGTTGAACCAAGCAATCATGTAATTTTCACTTGTTTCACTTGAGATTATTATCTTTCCAATTCCTTTATCTTGCCAACTATTGCTCGACGACAAATTGAAAAAAAATTGCATTGGTCAAAAAACTGATTACTCTGCATATGAATCAATAGTTTTGATAAACTGCAAGGGCAAATGTCTGACTTCCTGTTTAGTCAGACATTTCATCGACCAATACAACTACTGACTTATATTTTAGTTGTTCCTTTTATTATTCCGTCCTCTGAAAATTAGCAAAGTGAAATTTTGCATTAACGAAAATTAGTAAAACATATTTATGTTTGAAATCTTTATCCCCAGAAGAGCATTTACCTGGCCCAGGCATGTGTTCTACTAATTTAGCATGTTTTGATGAATGATATACTTCATGCCGTGGAATATTGGCTTTTATATATATTTTTACCATATCCTCAGCAGTGCCCCCCCTTTGGTAAATGCTTGCATTTGAAAACTATCAATAATTGAAATTTTACGCAGTATAGTCTTCCTTTCCAACAAATGTAGTCCGTTTAACATCAAATCAAAGAACGCACATTGTTTTCTCATTGCATAACGCCATTTTGTCTGTAAACAGACAACTTCCTTTCAGCGGAGAATATTTCTTTTTGTTGTCGTCTTGCCCACGTATTTCATGGTAAAATGGTTGTCATATTCTCAAGAAGGATTGAGTTCTATTTCCACCCAAATTTTGAGGTAGAGCACCCTGGGGGGGGAGTTACGAGGGTCTCCACTCCTCTTCCTTACCACCAAAACCACACGAGAGGACTTTCGGCTCGCCATATATTTAGAATGCCCCCATGAAGCACAGACACTATGCATTTACAAACATCCACGCCATCTCCATGATTCGAACCTAGGCCCTTCGTTACTGCAGCAGGAGTCTTTAATCACTATTCCGTCTGGGCAGTTGGAGAATATTTCTTCCTGATATATGACTCGAAGCGAAAGCTACGCATCATTTCATAGAAGCAAGCATTTTATGCATTTAATCATAATAATAAACCAAATTATTTTTAATATTAGTATTATTAAATAATATATAAATTTAAAGATAACTTGTAGAGTCATTAGGCTGTTACGAAGCAGGAGATGTGAAAAATGAGCAATGACCTCTGGTACTCGAACCACTGACCTCTCGAATTCGCTTCGAGCGTGCTGACCACTGCACCACAAAGGCATGCTAAGAAGGCGAGAGAAATACCTTATCAACTTTATAAAATTTTCAGATTTAAAATAGTAACAGTGTTATAAATACTATGCATGAAAAAATGAAGACCATTTACAAAGATAATATAAATATTTTTTATAGCTCTTTCAAAGCGAAATCATTTCTAAATTCGAAAGAAAATTATAAGAAATAATTACAAAATATCAAATATTTTACAATAATGAATGAATTGTAAACGTCTTTCATGTTAGACAGATTATTAATATTTAATTGGAAAACCTTTGCTTTTAATTACCACAGTACATTGCTTTGGCAAATTGTTCGCAAAAGTCAAAACTTTGTTAAGGTCATTCATTATAATTAGATGATGATAGTTTGAAATTAAAGCCTCGGTCAAATTTACTTAATTGCTTTGATTCTTCAAAGTGATTTTATATTTTTAGTTGGAATGAGATCTTGCGATTGGACAATTCCTTTGCAGTTTTGAATTGACTTAGTAAGAAGAAATACATTTGTACTATGACATCATGCATTATCATCCTCAAAGACATAAACATTGTTTTAAAACATGTTTATAGCTAAAAGAAGCAGTTTTCTTTTAACCACATTAAATAATATATCGAGCAGCATATTTTTTTTCTACAATGTAAAGTCTACGGACACCTTGTAAAGTTTTTCTTAATTTGCATAACAAATTTATTTTAAGTTTACCTGTTCTCAACTTCTCAAACTTCCCCTCACATTCCCTCGCCAGGATGTAAATTTAAAGTTAAGTGAAGTGCTATTTAAATAGTTTCAGTTTTATTCAGAGCGTGTTTCGCTAGCCTAGCGCACGTTTCGTTGTTATTTTCGTGGTAACTCAAGTTAGGCCCTTTGGCCGTTTTCAGTTAAGTATCACGCCGGTTAGATCTCTGTGAGTCCATCTCTTAGGAGTAATTTTGAAGTGCGTTCTTGCACTCATTTTATTTTTCAGATTTGATTTTGTATTCTCGTCTACATTTAAGTTATCGCCGCAAGTGAACGGTGTTTTTGTAAAGCACAAAGTCCGTGCTGTCTGTCATTTTAGTTTGAGTTAATAAAGGGTTATTTTCACCCTTCTTCTGTGCTGGTATTTATTTCACGCCTGTGCGAGAATTTGCCAGGTTCATCGTAGGATCTAAATTAGTGCATGTGGACAGTTAGAGATAGATCTTAAAACCTTTTGGTGAAATGCAACTCGATATCATAATCACAGTACGATAGTTTATTGTTGCTGTGGTGCAATGTGGTTTAAATCTTTCATAATAAGGTTTCTTACAAATATGGGTTTTTCATAAAGTGTAAAAGAAGATCAGCTTATAAAATTTTTAATTTGAGTTGGTTAAATTAAGTTATTGTTATGAATTTGTTCAATAAAACATAAAGATATCGGAACATACTATTTAATTTAGGGGGCTTGATCAGCTCTAGCTAGAACATGAATAAAAATAACTATTCTTAATAAATTAGGACAAACTGATAGATTATTACCTATGTAGAATTATCATTTGCCTTTTAACTTAAGGTTAGTATGAAAGATTCAACACCTGAATTTCTTTCTTTTTTTACTTTTTTAATAAATATTTTTCATCGCCTCGGATAACTTTACAGACCAACTGCAAACATTAACTGAACAGTTCATCTGCAAGGTGAGGCATTTATGCCTCACATTTTCCCAGTTATTAAGAGGATCTTTAAAAAAATGCAATAACACAATTAATTCATTTGGCCTTCCCTTTAAGGCCTCTGTAAATCAACTAAAAGTTTGTCAACCCTACTAAAACTGAGAAGCAAGTTATCGCTCCATATGTGAAAGTAAAACAGATTTCTAAGCAGGTTTAAACAACCTCTTTATTAAAAACTTTAAAGCACTTTTGTAGTACCACAGACGATTGAGGTATCGCAAAAGTCGAATTAACTATTAAGCAAAATCAGCATGTATTTAGGACACCAAAGAAAAGGGCACTATAGAAAAGTCCTTAGAAATTCAGGAAACAGGGCATCAAAAACATTTCCCCTCACCGATTTTCCCATGGAATAAATGGTGCAGGTAAACCAAGACCTAGAGAGAATGAATGGGAAAAAACCAGGCGAAAATTTATGTGGATGTACTAAAATTATTAGAGTGCTCTTAGGACTTTTAGAAGTTTTAATCCGGCCCTGAGTATTACTGAGCCTAGCTCACTGTTAAGCTTTCGCTCCAATTTTGAGGAAGGCAGTCCGATGATTTCTTAATCCTCTTCCCCTACCCCCAACCTCTTGACGGGATTTTTAGCTCGTCATGTATTTTGGGTGTTCCCCTCCCATACAGATACTATACGCTTACAAACATTCATGGCTTGTCCAGGATACAGCAATTAGAGGAATCGGTTAACAGAAACTTGAAAATTTAAATGGATTTGATGTAGGAGTCTACAGTACAAATAGTCTAACTAAGCGTTGACTCAAATTCTAAGGACAAAATTTACTTCGGTTAGTAAAATGGCTAATGCTGGATGACAGGGCTGGTGGAGTAGTAGAACTACATCGAGCCTTACTTACCAAAATCTTTCCCGAAATTTCTTAAGAACTCTGCCTTTATTATACTTAACTCATTTACATTATGGGGAAAGCTAACGTGAAGAGTTAGCTTTCACCATAATGTAAATGAGGTAGAGAAGAAATGATAGTACGGTTACAATTTATAAGAAAAAGGGTTGATTAATATAAAATATACTCTACACCTTTTCTGTGCCATTCTTCTAAATTACAGGCTAAACTGAAGTTTTTAATGATCTATTAAAAACTTCAATTTAAGTCAAATTATGATAGTTAGATTTCACAGAAGCATGAGAGCAAAATAATTTTTTATTAGAAAGTGTGATAATTTTAGCTCCAGTATTTATAAAGTTAGAAAACGACATACTTGAAACAAATATATATTCAAAACTACAATAACTGAGCGTCAAAAGGATTTTAGCAAATAATAATCATTCTTTTATGGACTGAACTGGACTTCAGAAAGTTTTATTGGATTAAGAAAAAAATGGTTTTAATTTTTAATGGTTAATAGTGCTTTTATGGTTCTTTCTTTAATAACTTTTCAAAAAATGATGTTACTTTAAAACATTAAAATATCGGGTTTTAAAGAAAGTTTCCCGGTACCGCAAATATCGTCTGTACAAACAGTTTGCATTGGCGTGTTTAATCATATTTTGTAATTTGAAAGAAAGAGACTTGCTTTAGAACACTGTATTCTGAAATTTGTAAAAAAGTATCGTTATCATTAAGTACAAGGTGTCTGAAATAGAACTATCACACTGAAAGATTAAAACCATCATTTACTTCCAGTTCTATTGCAAAATGCTAACTACAGAAAGTCATAAAATCATGTGTACAGCTTTAGGTATTAATGTTGTATCATATGAAACTGTGAAGGGTTAGTACCGAAAATTCAAAAACAAGGACTATGATATGCAAAAAGGAGAGCCCTCTGGCCTGCTTACTGATGTTGATGAGGCCCGCCTGCGGTAACTTGTGGAAGAAGATCAGTATGCAACCACTCGAGAGCTTGATAAGGACTTAGACGTTAGTGCCATGTCCTTTAGTCGAACTGTGCATCGCATAAACTTGCAAAACTTTTGATGTACACTTTCAATCGCTGGGTGCCGCTTGAGCTGACTCAAGCAGATAAGGACAGACGTGTTCGGACCTGCACTAATCTGCTCGAATATTAATGCAAGGACTAAATTCTGGACTGGATCTTCACTTGTGATGAAACGTGGATTCACTTGAACAACATAGACCTAGAAGGGGATTGGATCAGGAGTGAGATTGTCTGTCACAGGGATTTTTCAACGGCCTCCTGTCCAGAATGCCGTCATGCAGCGTGACCTGTCTGGCTATGAGAGTGGACCATACCCCATATTACATTCACTTTCAATTCGATATAATAACATGGATTTTGGACATCCCTGCACTATGAGCTTTACAGATAACCATGCGTAGATAAAATGCCTTTAGAAGTGTACACCTTTTTCTCAGTTATAAATGTGTATTCGTACCATATTTCATTAAAATATATTCAGTAGTTTTTCAGTAACTCAATATAGTGTGCAAATTCTCTTAATTTTACTCACGAATATATATTCTATATAAAAATACCTTTTGTGTACTTTTTAATATGGATTAAAGTTAGTTTTGGAAGTATGATAATATGCTCATAATATGTGATTATATACTCAGAATCATATTTTCAAGATTTCTTGATTTGCACCAAGTTTTAATTTTTTCCTTATTTAAGAATTTTAGTTAGAGACGCCTTATTCTTTTTCTTAAAGATTGTCACTTTTAAATAAAGTTATTTTACTTAGAATATTCTTTTAATTACTGGGTTAAAAATTTTTAAACAGATCCTGACTCAGAATTCTCTCACAGAAAATAAGTCCTTTTCAATTATTTTATAACAATAGGAATTCAAACGTAAACGATATACAATTACATCATTTTCAAAGAAGTTAAACACATTATTGCATCTTCAGGTACAATATACTTCGTTCATTTTACAATAAAAAGAATTCAGATGTAGACTATGTATAATTATTTCATTTTCAAAGAAGTCAAACACATTTTTGCATCTTAGGGGCAACATACGGCTTTTAACCTTACCTATTTTTAAAAGTCAAGTAAAGCATTTACTTTATACAACAATAATTATGCCTAAAACATGGTATGGTAAGTCAATATCTTGTTTTACAAAACAGACCTAATGTCTTCAACACAGCATCTTGGAAATGTCCTCCAGGACAGTCGAGGCATAATTGAGTTCTCTTAGATAATTCAGCTTTTCAGAGGAACATTCTCAGGCTTCGTATGAACCTTATTTTTAAGAGTGTTAATGTCATGTAGGACGTGTATGAAAACTTGAGCTTTCAAATGGCTGTTTCTTTTACAGGACGAATTATTTTTCGACTTATTGACAGTCTTTGATTTTCATTCATTTCCCCGAATCTTAATGCAGAAAAATGCAGTTTGTCAGAAATTTCGAATGTTTCGAAGGTCACTGCATGTTGCATCTTGTGTTCCTGCCAAATTGCAACAATGCTTTGTCAAAATGTAAATCTCAAAGACATTATAATAATTGGCTTTATTCGGTTTATTTGATCATGGGAAATAAAGAAAGGGCAGCCTATCTGAGAAGAAGGATGCTATCAGGGAGGACTTTCTTGTGCTATTTACACATGGAGAAAACTGTAAATACGCGCCTGCAAGTCATCCTATTCGCCTGGAATCGAACCCAGGTCAAACTACATATATTCAACACCTTTAACCGCTAAGCTGCTGCTAGGCTGTGACATTGTAATAAATATGGCTCGCTTTTTTTGTTTGTTTTATTTGACTATGAAAAAAACAGGCTGGGCTACCTGCTTAAAGTGAGATGTGAATTCAAGGAGAACTTTCTAAGGAAAATTGGCTTTTATCCAAGTTATACATGGAAAAAAAGCACGAAAATGCGCACTCAATCATACCACTCGGTGTGATTTAAACCCGGATCGAACTACCAGTGTTCAGCAGTCTTAACTACTCGACCATTTATAGACAACCCTGTAACGAAGAACTAAGGCCTGCATGTAATTCCTGACATAGAGCTATTTAGCCATGGGTACATGTAACTAGGCACCATAAATGCATTGTCTTATTTTGAAAATGGATAGATGTCACTCACTTTAGATTAAAAGAAGATTTTTATGATTTTTCAGCATTATTAACATCAGCCACTTTCCTTAAGAAAGACCTCTACAAATGCTTTCTTCCCTTTAGAAAACAAACTTTCATGTTCATTGTAATCAATTAAACAAGAGTGAAATTTGATTTTACCTGCCATGGATATTCTCCAAATTCGGAAACATCGGGAGGGTATTGTAATTGGCTTAATCTGCTTTGAACGCCGTATGCTTTGCGAATGCCACAGACGTTGTGATCTTTCCTTTTGTCCGGGAAACTAGCACTATCAGGAATAGGTGTAGCTACCGGATATAAATCGGCGTCATCATTTTCCTCGGGAAAAGTCAACTGACAGCAAACCGTATCTTCTTCACATACATTCGGAGACGAATTATTCCTTACTGTGTACTGGTGCATGATTTTTGGCTCGCCGTTGAATAGAATGAGAGACTATAATAAATAAATAACAAATGACAAAAGATAATATGTGGACACGTAAGAATTAGATATTATTGGTTAAATATTTTAAAATTTTTATTGTTAATGCAGTCAGAAAGAGCTGGAAATGAAAATTATTAACAACATTTTATCTGAAACCTTTTCGTTAGAGTAATTTTCAGACCAATAATAATTCCGATTGTTTTTAAGAGTTCTCTACAAAAAATATTATTTTCTACGTGAAATGCTATGAAAGTATGATTAGCATAGTGAAAAAGGGCACTTACTGTGTTATAGTTTTCAAAGAAACTGATTTTACAAGATGGTACGAAATTCTCATATGATTTAAGTTCTTGTTAGCTTGCAAATCAAAATATAAGAAATTATTTTTAAAAATTCATGATTAATTAAATTAGAATATCGTGACCCTGCTTTTTGTACCACAGGCTTTTCACAGAAATTTATAAAAGCGGATGCATTTATTACAACATTTTTTCTGTCTTTACTGAAATGTAATGAAGCAGAAGTTTTAAAATTTTGTAAAGCAGGACATTTCATCTTAGTGTCTAAACCTCAACCCTTCAGTCCCAACATTCCTTTCCAGCCATCTTGTCAATTAAATAGCTCATTTTGCAAGAAACACTGAACTTATTTTAAAAGCATTTCTACTGTTTTTTAAGGAGGAAATATTTGAAAAGTTTCCAGGTCTCATTACAAGATGGTAGTTAACATAACAACCTTGAAGGATACAAAAAAGGTTGTTATAATGTCTTAATTATAACAACCTTTTTTGTATCCTTCAATATTCGTTTTTTGCCTACATAAATGCAACAAATGTTACTGCTACATAGTTATATGCAACGTAAAAATCACAGTTGCATCAAATTGTGTTATAAAGAAGAAAAAATAATTTTATTCAGTCCTTGAATGATCTCTCTGTAATTTCTCATTGATTCTCCTGTACTTATGGTTGCTGCTATTGTTGTACTTTACTTACATCTGCTACGTAAAATGTTTTTCTGTTGCACCTGAGTCTTCTTTACAGATAGTCTCCGCTGATAAATCGTATTAAACTTTAAAAGATACCTTATAAAATCATTAAAATCTGAATTTTCTCAGATTTTTTTATTTCTTTCCTTTCTGTCACTTTTATTTATTTATTTTTATTATTATTTATTTACTTTAGTTTTATTTATTTATTTTTAAATTTTAATTTTATTTTATTTTATTTTAACTTTTTGTTTGTTTGTTTATGTAAAAAAAAATTAGTGGAATTTGAACTTAATGATAAAAACTAAGCAGTGAACACTGTCATGGCACCTAAGACGAGCATCTCTGAAAATGGCTGGTATTTCTAAGGAAATAAATAAACATCGATATTAAATGTCTCTAAACCAACCACCTCCACAGAAGATCAAAATCATTTGGAACTACAGGTGATCGCCTTATACAGAGTTTACTGTACCGTAAATAAAAGACAAATTTTCTCAATAGAAATAATTATACTTTTTTGTTTAAAATTATTCATAACATAAATTCAGTCAATAGGTTAAATGCACTTTCTAAATGTACCTTTTTAGTTTACCGTCATCTACTTACTTTATTCCGAAGAGGTGAAGACTTGGTGCTCCGTTTGTCAGCTGTTATGTACCTACCGCCTGAATTTACGAAGCCATTTTTGCACAAAAAATAAGGAACACAAACACAAGATGAGTATGGTTTGCCATCATATTGTCTGCGAGCATAAGCTAACGTAGCACTACTTATCGTCCTGTTGAATGTTTTAGCTAATGACACAGATGGTGGATTCAGATCGATGTTGTTTTTATTCGATGTGGGCTTAGCAGAACTTGTAGCAATTCTTATTTGTTTCAGGCCGATTTTGTTAAATGGATCTGGGGGATGATTTCTATCCAGTCTTTCTAACAATTGTTGATCGCGAGAGCTGAAATCGGAATTATCAGTTTTACCATACGTCTTCCTTGAGATCCGCCGATTGTCTCTAGTGTTGGTAGATCTAATAGGGAAGGAAGGTAAGCGTAGATACAGGTTTGGATTATTAACGATCCTGGAAAAAGAATTAAATTACTTCAATATACAAACTGGTGACGATACTTAAATGCTCACAATAAAATATCTCATCCAACATTATTTATTTAATGATGTGTATAAAAAACAATGAATGACTTCTGTATTTATTGACTCTTTATTCTTCAAATTATCAATTTCATTTAATTAGACTCGTAAACATAAATTTCAAAAAATTAAATAATTCTAATTAATTATTTAATTTATGCAACTCTGAATATGTATTTAAGCAAGAAATTAAATTATTGTTATTATTATTATTTGCATCTTCTTTGATTTCCTACTTTAGTTGTTCGTATTATATATGAAATAATCTAGGATAAATCTGGTAACAAAAATCTTCTACACAAGTAATAAAAAATCTGATGTGTGCACCACATGACTTCGTTGCACGGAATATTAAATTGTACACATTTTTTCTTAACGTATTGGATTGAATTAAATCTACTTCGTCGATAGCGCGTAAACCACGATAGAATAAATGCATTCTTTAAAATTCATTATATTTGTTTACCACAGCGACACTCTCTCTGGCGCTAGCTTCACTTAATAGCGTTACATTTCGTTCATATTACAAATCAGAATTCATAAATATTTATATCATTCGAAGAAATATCTAATTGTTGCCACATGTTCTATTCAAATATTATAATAAATCAAAAGCGATGTATAAAAGAAATTAAGCAAACAAAACAAAAAAGAAACAGTTTTTTACAGACGATTCAGTATTTCTCATTCAATTAATTCAGTTCTCACTTCCCGACGAGGCAAAAATACATAAAAACTCAAAATATCTATATTAAAATTAAGAAGCAAACCTTATTTCCTCGAACAAATTCCAGAATGGATTAAACATGATTTGATTCGCAATATAATAAAAGAAGGCGTTATATTTGTTGTTGCGAAGCTTAGTTTCTCTATATTGGCAAAAAATACGCTAACCAAGTTCGAAACTTTTAAATTGTTGATAACTCCACAAATATTGCATGCTGATTTACTAAAGGCATAAAAAAACATTAACCGGACGATAAGAACAATATAATTCAATCATTTTTAAAGCAAAAAATGCACAGCTTACAAACATAAGGGTAAAGAAACTGAGATCAATGAGCCGGTTAACAGAGTGGATATATATATATATATGTATATATATATATATACATATATTTACATACGTTTGGTGCGGCCGATTACAACCAAAATACGAGGTGCACATCTACGTGTTATAGCAGTCCTACATACAAAATTTCAATGTTCTGAGGCTACGCGTTTTTGAGTTAGGCGAGATACGTACGTATGTACAGACGCCACAAAATATTCTCTTCGGAATTCATTTTAAATCAGTTTTATAATTTTTTGGGGGGAAAAGATTCTTTTTTTTCTGTCCTTACATACAGATGTCACGCAAAAACATCATTAAATTGCATTCGATAGCGGTCAAAATGGATATTTTCGTTGAAATATGATGCCTGAAAATTTTCGCAATTACAATACTTCTTTTTTACTTCGTACGAGGAAGTAAAAAGCTTAGCGTGATGCTAAAAACCTTTAATCAAATTTCCAAAATTGTTTCAATATTTTCCTGCGTATTATAATTTACATGTTATTTATAATTTAAGTCTGAAGTGATGGTGTGCCTTTTTGCAAACATGCCTTAGTTGCAAATTGATACCACATCATAAAGGCATGTGTCACATCAAATAAGAAGCCACATTATACAAACAAATCACATATCGAAGATATCTATTTTTTTAAACTTATTGCGTGCTCCACCCTTAGACACTACACGAAAAGCAAAGGATGCCCCGTGGAGGTCTATTTAGAGGGAAATGTCTCGTATCCACGTCACACATGGGGAAAACCACGAAAAGGGCAATACAGTCAGCCCGTTCGCCGGGCTCAAACCACAGACTGAACTACCAGTGTTCAGCGGCTTTTACCGCTTGTCCGATGGTTGGACGCAAAAGTATCTATTAAAGTGACAAATTACATAAAATAATAACAGTTGATAACAGCCTCATAAAAATATGTAGCCACATTATGCAAATATGTTTCATATCAGAAGTATCTAACAGTGTGACAAGTTATGTAAAGCAATTACTATTCAATAACTTTGGGAAACTTAGTTTTATTCGCAATTAATATACACTGAATAATTAAAGCATTAAAAGTAGCACTGATGGCAAAATGCTATTGGTGTGATTGATGACAAAACTGATCACCGATTTTAAATTGTATGCAAGAAGTTTAAAAAAGTTACAAGATTAAATACTTCTTGCAATATTAATTTTGTCATAGATTCACGGTTCCGGTTTTAAAAGTGAATCAAATAAAAACTGGCTTTCTGATTACAATTTTGATAACCGGAGAACTTTTATTTATGGAAACCTGCCAATAACTCCGTCTGAATTGATTTAGCTTCCATTAAGTAAAACAGTTCTCCGCCGTCCAACATCTTTCATCACTTAAAAAAAAAAAAAAATAGCTAAATTCTCCGTACTAGCTGGTAACAAACATTACTGGATCAGAAACGAGTGGAGAACTGTACCTTTCCCCGATTAGCTGAAGATACTACTTACACTAGAACGATTCGAGACATTACTTAGGAAGAACGAGATACAAATTTTCATTACAAAACATCTATCAATGAGACGCTGCAATGGATGTTTTATTCTTGTTAAGTGAAAGATTCAAATTTAGAAGTGTGAAGGCAGCATAGCAAACCATTTATGATGAAATATGATAACGCTTTTATATTGACGGCTATTAGTGGAATATTGTTTTTAAGTGAAATCAAAGCCTACATTCAAACTGGTCTTACAAATTGTCTGAATATGTATGTTGTAGGAAGCTTTAGAGATATACATATCGCAGAACAGAAGTACTTTAAAAGAATAATGAGACTACTTTTAAATAACTTCTTCTTGAACTATTCTCAGCACTGAAAAATAGCTTTAAACATCACTGCCATTCTTACACTGCTGTAAAGGGTAACCACATTCCACATACGAAAATATTTTACCTAATGCAGCTCATTTTCCAAGAAAATTCCTGCATGAGCTAATTTCTGGCTAAATATATTTCTGCAGTAAAATATTTGTATACTTTTCTGCTATTAGCGACACTATTGGTGTTTCGAATAAATTTCTCTAAAATGTTTGCGTTTTTAGATTATTACAATTTTTTTTGTTAAGGAAACCAGTGAATTTAAACAACTACTAACTTAAAATTGTATATAAATCTGATATGCCAATACCATAAAAATTTAATATCTAAAATAAAATTAAAAATTAAAAAAGAGTAGTTTGGCTTTGCAGGCCCGTTTCAATTTTAATTCTTTCGTTGTTTCGTTCTTAGAAATATCGTTTACTTTACTTTCTCATATTTTAAAATAATCATAAAATGATTTTAATATTTCGTTTGAGAATATATTAATAAATTTAAATATAAATCAATAACGTACTTGAATTTAACTGTTTCGAACAAGTTTTTTCACAGATGAAACAGATATTAAACTTTTCACCATTCAAGCAGTTACTTATGATCTATTATTTTCTAAAATTCTGTATTAAAAATGTAAAGAAGACTAAGTTTATGGACACCTATCATTTCTATTCATTTCAGTATTAATACTATTAATATTCCTGCGTGCCTGTCTATTTGTTTTTTTTTATAACATCATCTCCTCCGGAGCGGCGGGGAGTTGATTTTCGAGAGAGATACCCCAGATTCCAAAAGTTCGTGGGAAGCCATTTTGATCATTCTCGTTTTTGTACGACTTTAATCAGCCGAGACATTAATTAAAAACTCTGAAAATGCCATTATATATATATATATATATATATGTAATATAATAGTTCTTTTAGTTTTCAATTTATTAAAAACAATGCTTTGTTATTACTATTGCAAAAAATTTTCTATTAAACTAATTAACATTAAATATGTTACCCGATCATAAAACAAATTTGCTGTGAACACCACATGACTTCCTGATACAGCTAATTAAATTATATACAATTTTTGCTGCACCTCATTTTAACTTATTTTCTCGAATTATTCTAACTCAATTAAGCGATCTCTCAGAGCAAGATGAAAATGACATAAAATTTGCAAAGTTTAAAATTAAATATTGCCGTCAACTCTTGTCGCGTGGGAGTTAAAGACTTCGTAATTCTATATTTTTCATAACGATTATAATCTTTCCCAAAGTGTAAAAAACAAGAAACCGCATTAAATTTTATTTATTTGTCGAAAATATTTTTTTTTAGTTTGGTATTGGCAAAACATGAATATTTTCATTATTTAAAACACTTCTGTAATTTGAAGTATATGTTTATGTCCAACGATTGCGAAAATAAAGGCTGAGTAAGAACTTTTAAGCCGAATAGGACGATGGATATATATATATATATATATATGTAAATGTACACACGTTTGGTTCCGCCGATTGCCATAAAAAGGAAGGTACTCAACTAGATGTTATAGCAGTCACATAATGAAATTTCAAAATCCTACGGCTAATTGTTTTTGAATTACGCGAGATACATACATATATACATACATGCGTTTATATAGAGATGCCATGAAAAATTCTCTTATCAGTCCACTTTACAATTCGTTATGGAAACGTCATTCCTCTATTCTGTCCGTACATACAGATATTACGCAAGGAGAAATCATCCAAATGGATTCGCAAACTGTCAAAAAGGATTTTTCTGTGGAAATATAATACCCTAAATTGCGATTAAATATTTCCTTTACTTCGTAGAAGTAAGTAAAAATGAATAAATTAAATAATTATTCGCAATAAAGATATAAATACAACAATATATGTATGCATGCAATCATAATATGTAAGGTAATAATTTTGCTGCAAAAAATAGCAAACTTTGTGGAATGGTTTGAAATTTTCGCGGTTTGAAATTTACATCAACACTTCGCGAAAAATATCGAGAACACAAAACATCTGCACTGAGATTT